ATTTTATTTAATGTACACTGAAGAAGGTCTGGTGGCAGGTCGAAACGTTTGATTTTATGTAAACAATTTTAACGAATACATTTTAACCTTCGCACGAGGAACTAGCATTGCGGCTCTTTACGCTCCTATTGATTTTAATTGATTTTAGTAATCAGTTGAGCCTTATATATTATTAAAAATAAAATATATTATGTTTTTCAGGAGTTGCACAGATTTAACCGATAACGATATCGAGATTGCTATAATTCGAGGAATTAATTATCCTCGGGAAGCAGACACATATGTTATGTTTGAGTTTCCATTTCCATCGGATAATCATCCCGCGGATAGAACGTCAACGATCAAGGATTCTGTCAATCCCGAATATCAGGCTGTGTTTCCACTGAATGGAATTATAAACCGCACTTCTAGGCAGTGTCAGAGAGCGTTCAAACGACATGCCTTAAAATGCGACGTTTGGGCAAAAGGGTAATTCAGATATTATTAATGTTTTAGGTTAACTTAATGTTAGAGTTTTGACTCCTTTCATTAACTCTTACATGGTAAAACAATTTTTATGATCGTCAAATGTGATGACCACGTTAATCCTCAATGTAAATATCAAGGCTCTATAATGCACTATAAATTTTATAATTTTTACTTATTTCAATGCTTTGATGTTATCAAATTAATTTTTAAATTATTAATAACTTTTAATTTAAAAAATTAATAAAGTTTGTGGAAAAGTATAATGGTGGTTCAGGAAACTACTTTTTATCTATGGATTCTCTGACCAATACGCTTTATGTATTTGCTAATTGTGTCGTGTAAAGTATTAGAAACCCGTACACTGAGAATACCATACTTAAAAAAATAGAACGTTGCTTGCAGATGCTCGCTGAACCCCATCTTGTGTTGCACTCACCCAAGGTATGGCATTTTTATGCTCCTGTAAAGTATGCAGTTTCTTATATGCACAAAGATTTTGATGGCACACTTTTAAGCGTAATGTATTATTGTATCATCCTATACGTTTTCTTATTGGCTTATACAAGAAAACAGCAATGTGTGTTTAAGTAAATATAAAAAATTATCATAATGCTTAGAATAAATATATATTCGAATGGTTTCAATAGCGTTACACGAGCAACTTGTAACAACGTACATTGGGATTTTTGCGACGCATTATTTTTCATAATTATATCGATTATATTTTTATTTATAGAGTTTATGTCAATTACAATGTTTTTTGTGATGTTGCAGAAGTTTCTTCCGAAGTGATAGTCTGCTTGGTACAGTAATGGTTAAACTGCAACCTCTGGAATCTCAATGTGTTCTACACGATTCATTTCCGGTGATTAAATGATTCATTTATTTTCATACTTTTTTCTTTGTCGGAGCAAAAGAATTTTACTATATATAGTGTTATCATTTCAGCTTATGGACGGCAGAAAAGCAACAGGAGGAAAACTGGAATTAAAAATCCGCCTTAGAAATCCAATTCTTTTTAAGCAAATAGAAAATATTACAGACAAATGGTTAACTATTGATCAATAATTTAATTTATCGATTCAGTTTAATTTGCTAATTAGCTACATCATGGGGCCTTTAAGAACAACGCAAATAAATTGCTATTTTTCCATAATATATATTATTAATTAATTAATATGTATATAAGAGTAAATTCATTGTAATATAAGAGAAATTTCGAGAACAAATTATTCAATGATAATTAACGGAATATTATAAGAAGTATAATTGAGTATATTGTTTCCTCTGTAATATTGTGATGTGGAGTGTCTGCACGCGCTGCTACGTACTGCTACGTGTTATTAGGTGGCTTTAAAACTTCAAATTTACCTACGTGAAGAATGTATCTCTTCACAGGAGCTTCATCACGTTCTTATATGCGCTCTGTTGTATTAATTCCGTTTCCTAAATCATGTTTATCGCGAAAATAAAGTTTTATCATCGAAATTTGGTTACATTAATTTCTTTAAGCCAAACAACAATCACTAATGATAAATTCTTCGAATCGGGGTAGACAAAGAGTGCTTATATGTATTGTAAATTTAAATATATAGCAAAATAACATATTGCAGTATGAAAATATATAAACACAAGTATATAACAAATACGTATGAATATCGTATATGTAAATATTCTATAATCGAGCTACATGCAATTTGTAATATGCAATGATTTTTAACTGTTTTGTTTAAAAAGTAAAAAATGTGCATTCAGTGAATAAATTGTTATATTTATTTGTATATAATAATTCATAAAGGTAATCCAAGTTTTTTAAAAATATTAAAATATTAAGTAAAAATATATTATTCGTGTATTTATAATACGATGCGATTTTAAAAATCTATATTTTTTGTATTTTCTTCCTTTCCCCCTTTTTTTGTAATATTTAAAAATAAAGTGTTCTATTAAATTGTTTGAGAAATTTCATGAATAATATACAGGATGCGATGGAAAATGTAGTTATGGAGAGTAAATTCTTGTTAATAAATTGAAATTTAAAATAAATTTTTTTGCACGAAGCTTTGTTCTTAAGAAAAATAACTTTGAAATTCCGTTGAGTGTGTATGTACTTGCATCTATCATTCAGATCGGCAAACCGCTGCACGTTACTATTTCTTTCTGTATTTTTGTATATAATGAATACAAAGTTATAAAATAAAATTAATTTTCTTTGGTTCTTATAATTTTTTAATGTTATTAATAAATACAATGTCGAAAACATCGTCCGCAGTTCAATGCATAGCTATGCTGTTTTATGCAACGACGCAAATAAATTCTTGCTAATGTGAGTTGCAAATTATTTAAATGTTTAAATAATTTGATTAATTGGTCAATACTTTAATTAAATATATTCAAAAATTTAAGTGGTCTTTTTACAAGGATCACTTTATATTTATATGTACCACGTTTTTTTGTCGCACTTTGCATACTCTGCAGAATCATATATGATGTATAAATGTTTCAACGAGAAATAAAAAAAAGAACTTTTAAAGGGACTTTTTAAAAAGGCTTTAATTTCTTAAACGTCCCTTTACCTTTTAACTCTTCCTACTACATTGTTGAACATGACAATATGTGAATACATGCGTAATCACTATCGTATATGGATTGTAAGAAATTTGAAACAATTTCTCGGTTTCTATGAGATAAACGTATCGTGTGATTTACACGTGGAAACAGAATAATTCGCGCACTAGAGCTGAATCCACGTTTCTCAGAGAACAATACAGCAGGTGAACCTCACTAACAAACTATTGTCCGATAATCGTTCGGCTCTACCTCCTTCCAGTTCGCTATATCACTAGTTCATTTCCAACCTGTATAGAAGTTCTCATGCGAGAGAGAAAAAGAGAGAGAGAGAGAGAGAAAGAGAAGGAGCACATCTTAACAGCATTCCGTCACAAAAATCGTTTTTATAAGTAAAGTCAGATATTTATTATTTTCTACTTACTTCTATTTCAAATTATTCTAAAAAAAATTTATGATGCTTTTAACACCCTTTGATTATTTTAATTAAAATATTATTTGTATCATATTTCTTCCATAGAATCTATTTTTTACTTTTCACAGGAATTTTTCTCTTTCTATCTTTTCTTTTTTTTTTCATTTTAATATTCCAATATAAAACTTGAAATTTTTTACACATTTGTGTATTGTAAAATATAAATAAATAAATAAAATAACATACGCGCGCGCGGCGCGAACATGATGCCCTCTCGATTCGGCTGTCGTCCGACACAAAGCCATGCATAACGCGAAGCATACACGACAAATAAACGCTTGCTTTCGCGAAATTAAGCTCGAGAGCCTCCCCCCGCAGCGTTTTTCGCTTTTTGTTCTTTTTTTGGCGTCTCGATCGATTGATATACAAATGCGGTGACACTCGGAGTGTCGAGTGTTCACCGCATGGTTCATCTTGACGCGTTTGACCACCAGTGTTTTAGAAACACTCGAGCGTGTCGTGCTGCGGAAATTCAAAAGAACGGCCCCGTTGAACCAAGCAGCGCGCGTATCGATCGCGCGATCGGAAAACAATGGGATTTATTTGCCAATTAGACAATTAAGTCGGTCAGAGGGGGCTGCCGACCTCTGACTGACTCTGAAAACTCAGCATCGGTCCGGTGAGCTTGTATGGGGGTGGGGGGGGCGGCGGAGTATTTGCCGTGTGTACACGTTAACCGCGGTAATGTTGACCTTTTAGCCTCTACCAGGTCGGGGCGAGTTTCCGCGTGCAAATTAACGATGTTTGTTCGCCTAACCCTTTGCCCCTATCTCGACCCACCGCTGCCCCGTCGTCTCATCCTCATCTATGCGCGTCGAGAGCGTTACCGAAACGGCATCCCGCCTCGCGATTTCGCTGTTCCTCTTGCGCGCGAGCGATCGACGGAGCAATTCCCGTCAATTATCTCACGATTATGAATGTAGTTAATGTCTGGATTTTTCTTTTGTTTAAGTACCGCCGCGTATTTTCGTAACGTTAATACATCGTTCATAGACTCCTGCAATTAACGATCCTAATATTAACGATATATTCTCTGATCAGCAGAATACAGAAATTCTCAGTTCCCTTTCTGATGTCGGATTTTGTTTAATCTGTTTCTATTTTTATCAATATTCTAAAATTCTATAATATTATGTCGAGAAAAATATTAGGCCGTTAAAGAAGTTAGAGATTCGTAAAATTTAATAATATCAATGATAAAATAAAGATGCAGGAAATAATTTCATACAAAATATGATGATAAAAAAATAAATTTTACCAAAATAAAATAAGTCTCATTATTTTATATTATTGTCGATTGTCTTTTTAACAAGATATCGTAATGCTACAAACAACAATGGCATTGAATTATAACATTCAATTATTTTAGTTTTCAAAGTGTAGAATACTATCCTGAATAATACGAGGCTTTAGTTTTTATTCAGTTTATAAAAAAAAAGAAGAAAGGAAGTTTGCAGAAGCACGTGTTGAAGGAATAACCTGTAATCTAGAGATTATAATAAACACATTGTATTTTGTGCGATATTTACAAATAGGAGATAATAAAACGTAATATTGCAATGCATATTTGAAGATCATTTTATCGATATATTTTGCACGCATGCACTTTAGTTATAAATAACTCTCTCAGATCAGATGTCTGAAATCACGAGGAGAAACAACCGTCCGCGAGGATGTTGTGTATGCGGAATATGAAAGAAAAAAAAATATTTGTAGGTCTTGTTGAGATAACCTTTAACATGTGAGCAACCACTTATCTCGGCGAATGTGTTACAATGTTCTGATTCGAAGTTCAATAATGACGTGTAATCTCGGTTGCACCGAGATTAAATCATCTGTCGATGCTATATTGGACGATTAAAGTTATATAACCAATTCGATTATTGGCGTTTTGTTTGCATGTGCATAATAAGCGCGTACACTTTTCACAACCGCTATCGTGTTAAAATAAATATACATGCGCATTGGGATAATTATCGGTGAACAATATTCGTTACATTATTAGCGAATAATTGACTACGTATGCAAATCTTATACATATATAGGTCAAGGAAAATTTTCCATCTCATTTATTTTGTTCCGTTTACTCAACCGATTTGTGTGAAAAGTATTAAAGCCAGATTTTATTTTCAAGGAACAAGTGTTCTCTCGAAAATAACACTGATCTATTTCAAGATTTTTCACAGAAATCTAGAAAATTTTCTTCGCTTCCTTCTACAGAAGTATCAGTGTAAGCAGATTTGATTTGTCCCGATGTTGTCTTCTCGGCAATGTAATATATCAATTTTTGCTGATTTCAAAATTATACCGTTTGCTCGATGCTGCCGAATGATAATTCCTTTTTCTAAGATGATCTTTCATTACGGTAACATCAAAGTCGCGTCAAAGCAATCCCAACACGTGTCCTTCTTTGTTTTTTTCTTCACGTTGAACACGTTCGTGTTCCGATACGATGTGTCTTCCTATGCGACACGTGCTTCGCCAGTTGTGTATCTCTTCTTTTTCGAAATCGTTCCCCGCGGATAGAGTTCGGTTACGCGGTTTCTGCTTATTCGGCACACACGACCGGACGTGACGTCATTGGAAGTACGTGAAGTGTTGATTGCAGATGCCAGATGCGACCTGACACCCGGAGAGTTCTGCCTCCTAGCCGTGATTCACACTCGCGTTACCGCGACAACGTTACCTTGTTTTTGCGCAACAGATATTTGGATCGGATGCGAGCGATCGATGTCCGAGGACACGTTTACAGTTCCGTGACGTGCTGTGTGCTCGGATCCTGAACACAAATTTTGCATCATCTGACTGATCAACAACGCTTTTACATTAATAGCTATTATACTTCCAACATTTTATATACGATTAGTATTTTTAATGCTTGAAATGTCTACAAGTTCATTAAAAATTGACTCGATAGATTCGGAACACTCTGTATATATACGAATTTTTATAAAAAACCTCAGTTTTTCCACATATTTCAATTGTCAATTTAATATTACCTCTTAATTCGTACGTATTAATTACATTTTGTTTGTCGTCGGTTGTTTTTAAAATTAACTTGAACGCGATGCGTATCGTATTTCAACATGGCGCGCCGAATAAAAGAAATATGAAAATGTATCCTACGCGTACTTTTCAATATAAATTAAATATAAATAATTAATTTCCTTAAAATTTGCTCATAAAAAGAATCAACGCAAGAAGATGCAATTAACGATATAGCTGAACAATAAACAGACCTAATCAAATTTCATGTGAATAAATTCAAGTCAATGGGATTCGCGCTGTTTATCACGATGATATCGTAACGCTGGGCTCCAACAATGCGAGTGCTGCAAGATGCGGCGATCGCATTGTAGCGTTTTGTACGCAGCAAATATAGCCCGTGCTGTTGCGATTATTATGTCTATAGATATATCCACGTAAAAAACTCCACGCTCCGC